AAAAAATCCCATAACTTACAAATAAACCATGTAGTTGTGTTTTATTTATTAAAAATCACCTTAAAACTGAATAATAGCACAGTGCGCTATGTGCGGAAGTGCGCGGTGGGCCATATGCGGGCTTCCTGTGGATTTTCTAAAGGACACAGGAAACCCACTYGGCATTCATGAAACGATCGTGCAACGCCTGGCAGTGTTTGTGAGAGTAGAATACCGACTTGCCGGATTTTCACTGTATTTCTTCGCAAAAATACACATCGGGTAAAACTGAAATTACTTTTTGTGAAGAATTATTTATTGTGTTTTGGATCCTCTTGATATAATTCTGCCTTCCGTTGCTTTTAGCTGGATCGAGGGTAAATTGCAAAATAGACCGGTCTCGTGACAGCCCCATAAATGTTGCTTCAAGGATCGCGTTGTGGTAGTCGTTTCTTGTGGCACAAAGTAAAGTTTAATTCTTTAAATTGTCCTTCAAAGAATGGTAAGTTGAAATACTGTGAGCGAGTAAAATTTTACCGCTGATTTATAAAATCGTAACAAAATCTACAGGGACAAAACTCGTCACTTAAAATGTGATATAGAGGACAGATTACGTAAGCTTAATTCAAAACAAAACAGAAGCGAACCAATTCMCAAGAATTAGATACACTGAAAGAGATTTCAGAAAGGAGGAATTCCTGGCTGCGCTTTCATTTATACAGAATACTACAAACTTACTTATTCTGAAGTGCCAATCAAGTCCAATGCCTCTTTGCAATCCCCTGGATCCATCCTGAAGCTATTTCACCTCTTGGGCCCTTATATTAGAAAATGTACTTATGGTAACAAAATGTTATCATTATTATTAACAAATATCTATGGAAATATTATTTCATAACAGGCAAAAAGCTAACAGAGGCTCTTGCAAGAACAGCAGCTACATTCTCCTCGACTCATGATTACGTCATCTGTGGAGCTGGCTCGGCAGGCTGTGTGCTAACCAACCGCCTTACAGCAGACCCAAATAACGATGTTCTACTTCTAGAGGCAGGACCAAGGGACTGGACATGGAAGATACATATGCCAGCGGCATTGGTTTATAATCTTTGTGATGATAAATATAATTGGTATTATCATACCGTGCCACAGAAGCACATGGACAATAGGTTAGTTTGGTTCATATATGAAAAAGCTTCATTTGATAGCTGTCAATCTCAGACCATTTTATGCATTGAAATGAATAAATCACTAATATTTTGAAATCAAATTGTTTCATTTTTTTTTCAGAGTAATGTACTGCCCCAGGGGGAGGGTATGGGGTGGCTCATCATCACTTAATGCTATGGTGTATATCAGAGGACATGCTTTAGATTATGATCGCTGGGAGAGTGAAGGAGCTAAAGGCTGGTCTTATGCAGATTGTTTGCCTTACTTCAAGAAAGCACAGACTCATGAATTAGGTAATTCTAACTGTTGGAAAAGCCATAGT